GCTCTGATATCCTGTGTTCTAAAGGCCCTCCCAGCTCTGACATCCTGTGTTCTAAGGACCTTCCCAGCTCTGACATCCTGTGTTCTAAGGGCCCTCCCAGCTCTGACATTCCATGTTCTAAGGGCCCTCTCAGCTCTGACATTCTCTGTTCTAAGGCCCCTCCCAGCTCTGACATTCTCTGTTCTAAGGCCCCTCCCAGCTCTGACATCCTGTGTTCTAAGGACCCTCCCAGCTCTGACATCCTGTGGGGTAAGGGCCCTCCCAGCTCTGACATTTTGTGTTCTAAGGGCCCTCTCAGCTCTGATATCCTGTGTTCTAAAGGCCCTCCGAGCTCTGACATTCCGTGTTCTAAGGGCCCTCTCAGCTCTGACATTCTCTGTTCTAAGGACCCTCCCAGCTCTGACATCCTGTGGTGTAAGGGCTCTCCCAGCTCTGACATCCTGTGTTCTAAGGGCCCTCCCTGCTCTGACATTCCGTGTTCTAAGGACCCTCCCAGCCCTGACATCCTGTGGTGTAACGGCCCTCCCAGCTCTGACATTCTGTGTTTTAAGGGCCCTCCCAGCTCTGACATCCTGTGTTCTAAGGGTCCTCCCAGCTCTGACAATCTGTTCTAGGATTCTGTGTTCTAAGACCCTCTCCAGGAAGTAGTGTAGCTGCTTTTAGAGCTTGAGCTGCATGAGTTCCCTCTTCTCTAACATTCTCTGATTTCTAAGGCTGCTTCTAGCTCTAATCCTATGATGTTATGCATCTGGAAAGGGAGGCAATGCCATCTGTTAATCTGTTGGTCAGTTAATATGGAACGTCCATTGTGTGAATATCACTTAGCTGTCTAGTAAGTCCTGGGGCAGTGGGAGGTTCCCATGGGGCCACGAGGGGCAGACTGGCCAGAGAAAGAGTCTGAAGCATTTGGGTGGGAGGGAGCAGTAGTGGCCTGGGCCCCTGGCCATCCTGTCCCATGGCCTGGGAACGTGCCCAGCCTGCCATGTGGAGCTGGGAAAGGGCATCAGGAAATTTCCTCTGAGATAGAGAAAAGAGGACCCAGGGCAGACACTCAGGCAGGAGCACCCTGGGCCCAAGGAGGAAGAGCTGGAAATGATCCTGGAGATAGGCTCGTCTGGCCTGCCCATATTGCAGAGCAGAGGACTGAGATCTAGACACGGGAAATACCTTGTCCACGGCCACACGGCGAATAAGTGACAGAAACAGGAGTGTAACCTGGGGTTTTTGAATGGAGAGCCAGTTTAGTATTCTCTTTAAAAACCAAAGATGATAGGGGCAGTAGGTGGCACAGTGGTTAGAGCAGTGGCCCTGGAGTCGGGAGGTCCTGAGTTCAAATACAGCCTCAGACACTTGACACTTAACTAGCTACGTGACCCTGGGCAAGTCACTTTACCACATTGCCTAGCCAAAAAAAAAAAAAAAAACAACCAACAAAAACCAAAGATGATACTGGCACTAAGGAAGGGCCATTCCATGCCCCCGTCTCTGAAAACCCCAAGGGCCCTGACTGGGATTAAAGACTCCTGGGTTCCCAGTTTGCCCCTCGCCAGTTGCAACCTTTTGCAAACCTACTCCATTCCAGAAAACTCTCCCTGCAGGTGCTCAAGACTGGACCTAGCGTCCTTCTGAGGAGCTGTGGACGGGTGCCCTCTCACTCACAAAGAGTTCACAGATGGGCAAGGAAAGATCTTGCACGCTTTTCATAGTGTCGAAGAACTTGACGTAAAACAGATGACCACGATAAGGGAATGGCTAACCAAGTTTGAGGGTATTATAAATGAATGGAATAGCATTGCAACATAAGAAACAATGGACACGAAGAAGTCAGAGGAGCCTGGGGCATACACAGGCCTAGAGGATGAGCCATCGAGGTCAACGCCTACATTTTTACAGATGAGGAAACTGAGGCACAGAGCAGTACAGTGACTTGCCACACAGCTGAGGAGCGCCTGAGGTGGGATTTAAATGCAGGTTTTCCTAGCTCCAGGTCTAGTCCTGCTCTACTATCCTGTCTCTCATGGGAAGACAGAGGAATTGATGCCAGATAAACAGAACTAGGAAAACAATCTATACCCAATGACTACCGGGATATAAATAGAAAGAGTAACAAGAACAAATCAATCAAAATGGAAACTTACATAATTAGAATGACCAAGCCTGGCCCCAAAGAAGAAAGAAGAGAAAACATTCCCTCCACCCTTGGTTCTTGGAAGAGGTGGGGGACTATGGGTGTGGAACAGGGCATGTTATAACTGGCGTTCTCACATATTCGGTTAGTTTTGCTGAAGAGCAAAACTCTCTTTTGTGCTTTGTTATAGGGGATGGCTGTCTAGGATGGGACTGGGAAATAAATGGGCTGTTGTTGTTCAGTCATTTTTCAGTTGTATCTGATTCTTGGTGACCCCATGTGGGGTTTTCTTGGCAGAGATACTGGAGCGGTTTGCCATTTCTTCTCCAGCTCATTTTACAGATGAGGAAACTGAGGCAAACAGGGTTAAGTGACTTGCCCAGGGTCACACAGCTATTAAGTATATGAGGCTACATTTGATCAAGGTCTTCCTGCTCTCCTGCGCCACCTAGCAGTTCCCGTAGAAGTGAATCCTGTTCATCCTTTCCCGGTGTCTCTGCCACCCCGCCATCTTAGAAGTTACCTTAGATCTCTAAGAAGCCTATTGACTACCTGGCATAGTGCCCTATACCTTCACATACTTGTTTATTGATCTAAGGCATGCCTGACAAAGAGAACTTGCTTTTTGTGTAATAACCTAGTGGAGACCCATCTCCGGTCGTCCTGATCTGTAACTTGCCACTGGACCCAGATGGCTCAGGAGGAGAAAGTGAGGCTGGTGACCTTGCACAGCCCTGCCTCACTGTAATCCAATTCATGAGCAAGTCATGGCATCACCCGCCTGATGTCATGGTCCTCTTCAACAACAACTTAGCTGTAGGTGATGTCAAAACAAAACGCATCAGTTACATCAATCAAATGAAAATAATATTTGTAAAGCACTTAGCACAGTGCCTGCCCACCACATAGGGAGAGCTACAGAAATATTAGCTATTACAATGTTAGCTATTAACTACGTTTTTTTTGTTTTTTTTTTTTAAGAAAGGTCCTACCTGAGCCACCAGGACAATCAGTAGCAGCAGCCCACGTAAGGCATTGTAACATTAGTCAAAATGTTAGAACAAGCGAAGGGCTCCAGGGAAAATAACCGTGATGGAATCTGAGCAGAAGGACTGCCAGGCCGCGGGCCGTGGGCCAGGGAGGGGACACGCCCGCCTTCTTGGGCTTTCTGCCTTTCTCCTTCCACCTTCTCCTCCTCCATCACTGCAGGGTGACCAGGTAAAGGGGCTTAGTCAGTCAGGGAGAGTCATTCTTGGAGAGGCTCATTACTGCGGGTGACATGCAGAGCAAAGAGGAATGGAGCCCAGGGAGGAGCTTAAAGTCTAGTAAGCTATTTTGAGGGCAGGGGAAGTGTGTTATCTAAACTTGGTGGTCTATGCCCAGGAGGTGCCTAATTAATCTCTGTTGTACCATCTAATCACAAGAACTCCTGCTTATATCAGTAAAACTAGATTTTCACCTAAAGTAAGTTGTATGAGCAAAATTACGCCCATTTCACAGATGAGGAAGCTGAGTCTCAGAGAAGGACTCATCTTACACAGTCAGTGAGTGCCTTGGCTCTCCAGATCAGGAGTCCAGCGCTCTTTCCACTTTTGACTCCTTCCCCCTTCTTGTGTGAGGCTGTAAGTGACACTAGAGACTGCTGTTGAGTCCAATAAGGCTCTGCAGCTCAGAGGGGTGAAGGGATTTGTTCAAAGTCACACAGGTAGTAGGTGATAGTGGTGGAATTTGAACCCAGGTCCTCTGATTTGAAATCCAGTGTTCTTTCCACTGCATCAGGAAACTGAGGCAAAAAGACAAGAAGTGTTTTTCCCATGGTCACACAGATAATGTTAGGGATGGGACTTTTTCTGACTCGGAAGCCAGTGCTCTCTCATTATAGGAGGCTGACTGTTAGGAGATAGCATTCCTATCAGACTGAGAAAAGTCTGGAGTGGTCCAGACAGCCCTGTGCTGGAAGTCAGGTGACCTAGCTTTAAGCCATCGGCAAGGCACTTTTTAAAGGACAAGGGGATGGGGGCAGCTAGATGGTGAAGTGGATAGAGCTCCAGCCTTGGAGGCAGGAGGACCTGAGTTCAGTCTGGCCTCAGACACTTGACACTTACTAGCTATGTGACCTTGGGCAAGTCACTTAACCCCGATTGCCTCACCAAAAGGAAAAATAAACAATAAATAAAAGGAAGATGGGGTCAGAGGAAATGAGGGCTTAAGTGGGGAGGAAGGGGGAAATGTAGCAAATCACATGACCAAGAGAGTAAGATTCCTTAGATGGTGCCAAGAGAGACAGTAACAAGAATGAATGAATGAATGACAAAGCATTTATTTAGTGCTTGCTATGTGCCACACCAGTGCTGGGAGTATAAAAACAAAGATGGTCCCTGATCTCAAGGAGCTTACATTCTAATGGGAAGACAACACATAAAGGGGAATGTTGGCCTGCGAAGGGCATTTCTAGGAACGGTGAAGGGAACCATCCAACAGTGCCCATGACAATATTATTGGGATTCTAGTTCCCAAGCTGGAAGGGCTGGTGCAGGAGGGGAGGAGCAGCTGATGAGGTGTCCTGAGGAGCCCGCCAGGAGCCAGCAGTACTGATATAATGGGCCACTCACCAGTGGGCACTTCAGGACCTTGGAGTGACATCGAGTCACTTTAGAACCATTGAGGAAGCAGGTGACCTGCCCAAGGAGCAATTTTTCCACCCCTACGCTCCTCTTTTTGATTGTGTGAATGGGAAGCAGCATCTCTGAGCCTTGACTTACCCAGAAATAATATCAGGAGAGGTGGCAGAGGATAGTGGAAAGAGCATTTAACTTGGAAGCCCGAGGACTTGGGTTCAAATTTCAGCACCACAACTTATGGTATGACCATGGGCAAGTCATTTCCCCTCTCTAGGTCTCAGTTTTCCCCATCTGTAAAATGAGAGGGTTGGATTCCATGGTTTAGCTGTAGATCCTCTGACATTTCCAACTGAACTATTTGGGGAGGCCTCTGATGTTAGTTAAGGGACAAAAGGATGAAGAGAGATGCATCTCACAGGGACCGTGTATTCACCTGCAATCTTGGCCCAGGGACTAAGCTAAGAATGAGGCTCCCACCGAAGCCACCTCCTGCGCCACCCTCCTAGACACAGCCGTCCGCCCCGCCTCTACTGGTTCTCGCCATCCCGCCCTCCTGGCCGAGCTCACAGCCCTCTGTCTCTCTTGGGCCGCTCCAGGAATTTATTACCTTCTTTGTTGTGGCTTGAGGAAATCTCTTCCTTCGCACCTTCCAGGGCTGGTGATGCTAATCCAGCAGCCCTCCTGGTGGATCTGCCTCTCCTGTGTTTATTCCAAAATGCTTGTATCATCCACTGTGCCAAGGCCGTTTTATTGTGCTTCTTAGTCTGTTCTGTTTCATCTTCCTCATAGCACTTCTCACAAATCTGCTTTGGGGGTGGGGAGAGTGGCATCTCTAAGTGCTGGGAAACAAAAGAGCAGTGTGAAAAAAGTGGTGGATTTAGAGTCAGAGGAGAGGAATTGAATCCCAATGCTGTGTGGCCTTGGGTAGATCCCTTTCCATCTCTGGAACTCAGTTTCTTCACTTGTAAAATACTTGCCTTGAAAGTCCCTCCCAGCTCTGACGTTCTGTGTTCTAAGGCACCTTCCAGTGTGGACATTCCATGTTTATGGTTCCTTCTAACTACGACATTCTGTGATTCTATGATCCTAGGTAGTATCCTTTGTGAACTCCCACTCTGACTTCTTTCCCAAAGTCCCTTGAGTACGTCTTACTCATCTTATTATTTATAAGCATATCTTGTCTCCCCCTTAGACGACGTGCTCCCAAATAGCAGGTACCATATTGTAGTCGTCTTATCTTCTCCATAGTAGAGAGAGACAGAGACAGAGGGAAGAAGGTGGGGAGAAAAACAGAGACATAGAGAGAGGAGGGGGAAAGAGAGTGAGAGAGGAAGGGAGGAGAGAGAGAGAAAGAGAGAGAGAAGGAGGAGGAGGAGGAGGAGGAGGAGGGGGAGAGAGAGAGAGCACAAAAAGGAAGACACGTCTGTCCTCAAGGAGCTCACTTTCTAGTCGGAGGAGACAACACACAAAAGGAAGTAGGTAGGGGGAGCAGGCAGGGAACCTGATAAGGCACCTGCTTGGGACAAGTGGCGAAGGTGGCTTGGGGAGTCACGGCTGCTTTGGATTTGCAGAGAGCATGATGGCTGTCATAGGTGCTTCCTCTAATGGACTAACTACCAGTCTGCCCTGAGGGTGGATGGAGACACAGCTGGCCTCAGACCTTCGCCTTCTTGCCCCAGTTCTCAGGTTCCCTGTGGCTCCTGTCTGAAACACTTTCTGCCCCAGACTGATTTCTCACGATTTCACTCTCCAGCGGCCGACGGCTTACAAAAGACCATTGGCTCAGCATTTATTTGGAAATGCCAAAGTGGCCCCTGGCCTTTGGCCAAGACCATAGCTTGGGGTCACTTTCCTAGAGGGTGGAGTCCCAGCCTCTGTCAGGGCTCCAGGGTTCTGTTCTCAGCTCCAGAGTCAACAATTTCAGGTTAAGCAACTTTAATTAATCTCTTCTCTGTCAGAAAAATTAGGAGACTGCTCTTCTGGGTCAGATAACCGAGGGGTTTTGTGTTAATCATGTCTGTCGGTCCCAGCTGGACTAGGAACCTGGTCACTAGGGTCCCATTCTTTGCCTCGTCCCAGGGTTCCGTCTCTGCCCAGCCTTCCTCATTTCCCTAGACTCCCACTCCTGGCTCCTCCACCCTTCCGAAGCTGCCTTTCTCTCACAGGTTCCTACGGCCTCCACCTGTCTCGGAGTCTTCTCCCACACCGCACCCTGCAGTTTCATTGTCAGATCCTCCCGGCCTTCACCCACCAACTCTGTCCAGGCCCTTCCACAGGAACTGAAAGCCAGGTGGTAGGAAGTTTCCTCCTGGCTACTCCAACCCGCACCCCATGCTCTGGTTTCTCACCCAGGCAATTCGCCTTCATTCTCCATCCTTCCTTCTCCATTTCCAAGAAATATCTACATCTAGAGTTTGCCTTTCCTTTGCAGGTTGTGGAGGGTTGGGGTGGTAGGACTCTCTTCTGGGAGGGTAGGAAGCAAGAGGGACCTAAACCTCTGGAGCTATACAGACTTAGCTGGTGGGAAAAACTTGCTAGTCTTTATTTTGTGTCATGAAATTTTGGCCACTCATGGAGTCATAGGAATATATATCATCAGAGCTGGAAGGAACCTTAGAACAGAGAAAGTCAGAGCTAGAAAAGATCTTAGCACAGAGAGTGTCAGAGCTGGGAAGAACTTAGAACAGAGAATGTCAGATCTGGAGATCTTAGTACAGAGAATGTCAGAGCCGGAAAAGACCTTAGAACAGAGAATGTCAGAGCTGGAAGGGACCAGAACATAGAATGGCTAGATCTAGAAAGTAACCTAGAACACGAAACATCAGAGGCAAAGGGGACCTTAGAACAAATGTAAGAGCTTGATTGATCAATAGAAAGAATGCTGGATTTTGAGGCGGAAGATCCAGGCTCCCTAACTCTGTCATTTACTGTGTGTGTGGCTCAGGGCAGATTCCTTCACCTCTCTGAGCCTCGACTGTGAAATCCAGGAGTTGGACCTGATGACCCCTGACCTCCTCTTGCTTGAACCTTTGATCCAACGATGATTTTGTAGTCCCAACTCTTCATTTTACAGGTGAAGGACGTGGAGCCCAGAGAGAGGCAATGACCCGCCCAGAGTCACTAATTAATATTGGAAATGGGCTTCTAATACTAGAACCACTCCTTGGCCCCACCTGCCTCTTCTTGTCCATTGAAACCCCTCAGTGTTTCCTGTGTTATCCTGGAGGCTTCCAGAGGTCAGGGCTCAGGCCTGTGTAGCCTGTGTGCCCAGAGCAGCACAGCCCGGGGAGGGGACGTACCCGAACGTCTAGCTACGCGCCCACCCGCTTACCTTGCCTTCCCCATCAGAGAGGCGAGGGGTGGTGGCTCTGACCTCAGGCAGCGGATATTCTGTGCAGCCCGGGGTCTCTGGTTCCACAAATACAATCCACCTATCCTTTCTTGTTGGCCATTCTTGTACCACAGCCTCTCAGGTCAAGAGAAGGCCTATGACCAGCAGGGGAGATGAGGGCCACTGTCCCCAGATTTCCTGCCTGCTGGAGAGAAAGAACAGAGCCTGTGTTGTGTCCGAGGGGAATCTGACCTGGTGAGACTCATCTAACCCGTTTACAAAAACCGCTCTAACTGGGTAGAGGGGCAGCAGGACTTGGAGCTAGGCTGCCCTGGATACCATCTGAAGTACCAGGGAGAATCCATCCACCGAGCCCTGCTTTGGACCCTGCCTACGGCCACCTGTCACTGCCACTTGTATCCTCTTCCTGGTGCCCTACTCCTAAGAGGCATTCCACAAGCATTTATTAGCTTTGTAACACTTTAGAACTTCGATCAATGTAATGACCAGCTCGAGCTCCAGAGGACCTATAATGAAGCGTGTTCCCCACCTCCTAACAGAGACGATGGACCCAACGTGCAAACTAAAACATACATTTTTGGACATGGCCAACCCAGGAATTTGTCCGGATTGATTGTGCATATTTGTTACAAGGGTTTTCGGTGTTCTTTTTTCTTTTTTTAATGGGGTGGGGAGAGTTGGGAGGAAGAGAAAACAGATTTTTGTTATTTGAAGAAAATTACGTTAAAAAAAAGCCAACCAGTATGAATTAGGTTTATGAATTACTATGTGCCAGGCACTAGGGAATCCAAAGAAAGGCATAGCACATGTCAAAGAAGGCTTGTTCTAATGGGAGAGACAAACGTGAAAATAACTAGGTTAGGAAAAGATATATACAGCGTAGAGGGAGGGGGAAGGGATTGACAGTTGGGATGAGAGGGCGATGGAAAAGGCCTCCTGCAGAAAGTGGGATTTGAGTTCAGTCTTGAAGGAAGCTGTGAAATTAAGAGGCAGAGATGAGAGAAAGCTTCCTGGGCTGGGAGACAGATGCCGAAAAAGCAGAGAGATAGGAGGCAGAGTATCGTGTGTAAGGAACTGCAAGTGGGCCAGTGGGACTGGTTCAAAGATTGTGTGAGCAGGACAGTGGGGCAGGAAGAAGTCAGGTTGCAAAGTCAAGGACTTTATATTTGATCTAGAGGTGAGAAGCGCCCATTGGAGCTTATGGAATGGGAGGCAGAGAGGAGAGGGTGCAGTCAGACTTTAGGGAAAACACTTTGGCAGCTTCATGGAGAATGGATTTGAGTGGGAAGAGATGGGAGGTAGGGAGGCCAGCCAGAAGGCTATTGCAATAACCCAGGTAAGGGATGATAAGAGCCAGGATTAGGGTGGTAGCTGTGCGTGTGACTGGAGAGAATCGGGTGCAGACACGGAAATGTTAAGTAGATACAAATGATTTGGCCACAAATAAGACATGTGGGATAAGTGAAGATAAGGAACCAAGGATGACGTCAAGATGGTGAGCCCGGGTAATTGGGACAATGGCAGTGCCCTCAGTAGCGATGGGGGAGTTTAGAGGAAAAGGGTATTTAGGGAGAAGGGAATGAGTTCTGATTTGGACATGACGAGTTTGAAATGTCTACAGAACGTCTGGTTGGAGGTAGTGATGCGGGACTGTAGGAGAGAGATTAGGGCTAGTCATTTAGATCTGAGGGGCATCTGTCTGGAGATGAGAGGTGAACGCAGGGGAGCTGAGGTGATGACCATGCAGGAGAGTGTAGAGGGAAAAGAGAAGAGGGCCGGAACATAGTCTTGGCAGTGGGCATGACATGAATGAAAGGATTCTAACAAGGAGTAGGTCCAAGAAACAGCAGAGCCATGAAAACCCAGAGAAGAGGCTACAAGACAAGACGATGCTCAGGAAAGTCAAGGATGGCAGAGAGGTCGAGAAGGGTGAGGACTGAGAACAGGCCATTCCATTTGGCAAATAAGAAATCTTTGGTGGCCCTGGGGAGAGTGGTTTCCATTGAAGGATGAGTTCACTAGCCAGGTTGTGGTTGGGGTTAGAAGTGAGTGGGAGGAGAGGAGGGGGAGGCATCTAGTGTAGACAGCTTCCTCAAGAAGAGGAGGAGAATGATCAGACAATAGCTAGTAGGGTAGGTAAAAATCAAGCCAGGATTTTTTTTGTTCTGTTTTGTTTTAAGGATGGAGGAGACATGGGCTTGTTTGCAGGCAGTATGGAAAAAGCCGATAGATGGAAAGATGAAAGATTAGAAAAAGAGTGGGAATGATAATGGGAGCAATCTGCTGGCGAAATCAGGAGGTGAGTGTACCAAGGGTGTGTATAGATTCTGCTGCTGATTCCTTCAGTGTGCCAGGACCATCATAACCAATCAATGAGGGAGACAGTATGAGCGAATGCTAAGGCATTGTGGGGCAGGAAGAGAAGCACCGGACTTGGAGTCAGAAGAACAGAGTTCAAATCTTGGCTCAAATACTTGGCTAGTTGTGACAATTGACTTCTGCTTGGTGATCCTTAGCAGGATTGGAACCCAGGTCCTTTGACTCCAGGTCCCAGTTTTCTTTCCACTACCCCAAGATACCTCACAGGGTTATTAGGAGAGATGCACTTCAAAAAACCTTAGGGGGCCATCAACATGGGAACTATTCTGTAAGAGCCACACAACTCCCAACTGAGTAGGGTTAACTTCAGACAGGCTGAACGCCTTCACCATTGGGCCCGGCACAGATGGAAGGCAGGAGCCCCAGGCCACTGGCAGCTTCCTGGGCAGGGGGCCCTCAACATAGAGTGCCATTGTCTCGCTACAGACCGTTTCTCCCGGCTGATGATGTGACCCTCTCCTCGTGAATGAGCACAGATTCCTGCCAGAGCGGTGGGGCCCCAGTCCTTGGGCCTCAGCACCGGGAGAGGCCCCTTGAGACTGGCCCATGGCCCTTCCCCAGCCCATGGCCCGGGGCCTGGGCCCCAGCACGTGTTCCCCAAGAACAAAAGCCAGCTCCTAATTGTGCTGTTTGTGTTGGCACTTGCCCTGTGGTTTTTGTAATTTTTCATTAGTGTCTGGAGCTTTTTCCCAGGTCCTTTCATCTCATCAGGTTTTATTTTGGGCTGTAACTGCTTGCAAAGAACCCTAAGCAGGGTGTCCTTTGGGATGGCACACCCAGGGGTGACGCTAGGCTGGGGCTGGCACGCCTTGGTGGGGTCTGGCCAGACCTCAGCCAGGGAAGAGAGGTTCCTGTAGCTGAGAGTCAAGGGCACAGACCAACAGAGCTAGAGCTGAGAGTGGGCAAGGGGAGAGATCTAGGAACAGAAAGTGTTAGAGCTGGGAGGCCCTTAGAACACAGAATGTCAGAGCTGGGAGGGCCCTTAGAATACAGGATGACAGAGTTAGGAGGGACCTTAGAATAGAGAAGGTCAGAACTAAAGGGAACCATCTAGTCTGATATCCCCTTTCATAGAGAAGGAAACTGAGGTTCAGAAAAGTTAAATTATTTCCTCAGGATCTTAAAGAGAAAAAAATAGCTAGACTTGAGGTCTAGCACTCTATCCATTATGAGATGTTTCTTCCTACCCCAGGGCATAGGTCTTAGATTGGATAGGACTTAGAAAACCAGAAAGACTGTTAAAGAGAGGAAGGAAGGGAATAAGCATTTATGTAGCACCTACTGTATGCCGGGCACTGTGCTAATCGTTTTACAAACATCACATCGTTTGATAAAGAGCATTAGACTTAAAATTCTAGAAGTCTCAGGCACTCATGCAGTAGTAGAATATTGGGAGGAGCTCAGGTTCTCTCCCAAATCCCATCATCTGCAATACCCCAGAAGGCTGCAGCAAATAGGCTGTTTTACCTGTTTACTTCCTCAGAACAGAGGAGAAAATCTTCATCTGACAACCCAGAACTTCACAGCAGATGGGAGTCAAAGAGTGTCACTGACAAAGAAGAATATGGGGAGAAGCAGTTTGTTTTCTGTGACTTTCTCCATTCTAAGACTCCTCCCAGATCTGACTTTCTGTGTTCTAAGGCCCCTCCCAGTTCTAACATCCTGTGTTCTAAGAGCCCTCCCAGCCCTGACATTCTGGGTTCTAAGGCTCCTCCCAGCTCTGACATTCTGTGTTCTAAGGGTCCTCCCAGCTCTGACATTCTGTGTTCTAAGGGCCCTCCCAGCTCTGACATTCTGGGTTCTAAAGGCCCTCCCAGCTCTGACATCCTGTGTTCCGAGGGCCCTCCAAGATCTGACATTCTGTGTTCTAAAGGCCCTCCCAGCTCTGACATTCTTTGTTCTAAGGTCCTTTCTTGATTTATTATTCTGGGTTCTAAGTGAGGAAAAAGTTAGTGTCACTGAACTGAATTGACTTCTTTGAGATGCTAGATTTGCAACTCAGCTAGGCCAGTGACAGCAATTTGGGGACAATCTGAATGGTTTCAGGTGGGATGGGGGTAATCACAATAGCAACAATACTTCCAAAGGCCTGGGAATTCAACAGTATGTCTGATTTCTGTCTACCCACATATGTATTGCAAACCATCCATGCTTTTAGTAGACCATTTCACAAGTGGCTTTGATGATAAATCTTTTAGCTAGACTGGCACATAGTAGGCACTTAACAAATGCTTATTGGGTGAAGGGAATAAACATTTATGTGGCACCTACTATGTATCAGGCATTATGCTAAGAGGTTTACAAATATTATCTCATTTAATCCTCACAACAACCCTTCAAAATAGGTGTTATTACCATCTTCATTTTACAGGTGAGTAAAATAAAGCAAACAGAGGTAAAGCGGTTTGCCCAGAGTTTTAGGGCTGGATTTTAACTCAGATCTTCTTGTCTCCAGGGCTAATGATCTATCCACTGTGCCACTGGCTGCCTCAACCTATTGATTAATTGTGGAGTGATTTGATTGAGAGCAAAGACTAAGTGACTGCTTGCCAGGTTTCTTTCAGAGGGAATTTCTGTTCAGGTAGAGGGTTGTACTAAATGGCTCCTCAAATCCGTTCTAACTCTGCAATTCCAGGTTCCATAACATCTTATGTTTCTCATCTCTTAAAGGTTTATAAGGCACTTTCCTCCCCAAAGCCCCATGAGATCAGTCCTGCAAGTACCATGTCATTATCTCCGTCTAAGAGCTGACATTGAGAGATGGGAGGGGATTCTCAAAGTGGGTGTTGGTTTAGGAATTCAAAGCTGGGTGGGGGCTTGAACACACGTTCTCTAGCCATGTAGTTGGGGGCTCGCATGAAGATCAACAATCCCCACCTTGAGGGTTGCTTCTAAGAGGGTGCAGGCGCGTCTTCCACTGCTAAGTTTGTTCTAAGCTCTCCAAGAGGCAGGCACCCAAACAAGATCAAGCCAAAAGACGTGTTGGTGCGTTGGCCTCCATTTCTAGACCATCTGCTCCCGTGAGCTCATCTCCACCCTGGGCAGTCGCATGGACTACAATGAGATCTGGCAGAGTGGATGCTGGCAGTCTGAGGATCCTCTGGGACAAGCACAAGGCAAGCCCAGAAGCCTAAGGGATGGACCAGAGGGGTCCAAAAGCACAGCATTCTCCCAGGAGAGATCAAACCAGGGAAAAAGGAGGGGACCTAGATTGGAAACTGAGGGGGGTAGAGATTTTAAGGTTAACCATCTAGGCAGAGGGTCTTCCACTGGTCTCTAAGCTATAACAAGCATGAGTCCCCAGCCTGGAGGAAGAAGGGGCAAGAGGAAAGCTAGTCTATGGAGAGGGTACCTTAATTAGAACTGGAAAGAGAAAAGACCCCTAATCCTCAAATACGAAGAATTTCAGTTACATTAGCTCATTTCACATATGGAACATAGAATGTCACAACTGGGAAGGCCCTTAAAACACAGAATGTCAGAGCTTGGAGGGCCCTTAGAACACAGAATGTCAGAGCTGGGAGGGCCCTTAGAACACAGGATGTCAGAGCTGGGAGGACCCTTAGAACCCAGAAGGTCAGAGCTGGAAAGGATTTTAGAACCCAGAAGGTCAGAGCAGGAACAACTTTAGAACCCAGAATGTCAGAGCTGGGTGGGGGGAGACGTCATAACACAAAATGGCAGAGCTGCAGAGTGGAGGGACTTTACATATCCTGTGGCCCAACCCTTCCACAAACAGTGGATATGCAATGATAGCATACCTTTTGTCCCTTACGTTTCTCCATCAGGAACCAGGTCTCTGGAAGAAAAGTTCCTTTCATGATTTTTCTCCTTACTCCTCTAGACCTTTGGTTAGATGATCTGACTGTCCTTTATTTCCTCTCCCAGGTGGCTTCCAGCACCCCTTTTCCCAGCCTTATCACTTGTTCCATCTCCCTTTGCACAGCCAAGCCTGGATCTGCCAGCCGCCTCTCTCAATATCTTGCCTGGCTTCCTTCCTCCCCTCAGGGCTCTTGGGTGCAAGAGTAGGCCAGGGCTCTCGCAATCCACTTTTCCACCTGTCTCAGCCCTGAGTAGCTGTCAGGCACTCCCAGCCTTCCCTCTTCCGCTTCACTGCCTGGTGCTGTCACCTCTGTCCCGGTCCTGCCAAGCATTTCTGTTCCCATCTACAGTGGAAATGTGTTATACTCTGCCAGTTAAGCAACACTCTGGGCTCTAGGAGATGAAGAGAAGCTACCATGTTCAGCAGTAGTAGGTTACATGAAGCCCTTGCACGGTAGGAAGAGCCTGGCCTGGGGATCAGCAGACTTCAGTTTTCAGTCTCGATTATGTCACTAACTCATTCTGAGAGCCTGGGAAAGTCATTTCATCTTCTTAGGCCCCAAGCCCTGATTCTTTCCTTTGTGAACTATGGCGGGCTGGACTCAATGATTCCTATGGCCCCTTTGAGCTCTCAAATTTCATTTTCAAAGGTCCCTCTCAGCTGTGACATCCTATGTTCTAAAGGCCCTCCCAGCTCTGACATTCTGGGTTCTAAGGGCCCTCCCAGCTCTGACAATCTGAGTTCTAAGGGCCCTCCCAGCTCTGACATTCTGGGTTCTAAGGGCCTTCCCAGCTCTGACATTCTATGTTCTAAGGGTCCTCCCAGCTCTGACACTCTGTGTTCTAAGGTCCCCCCCAACTTGACATTCTGGGTTCTAAGGGCCCTCCCAGCTCTGATTCTATATGTTCTAAGATCCTTCCAGTCCTGACATTCCATGTTCAAGGCTTTTTACAGCTCTGATCTTCCAGCTGTGACACTTTGTGCTAAGAGTACTTCCAGTTTTAAAATTATGTGACAATTTCTTATATTTCCTCCAGCTTTGTAACACTTAAAGCCCTATATATTAGACTTGATATTACTTTACTGCTCATCACGGCTTTTCTGGAGTATTTTGTCCTCATCGCCACCTGATCCCCCATTTTATGGGGATCTAGGCACTGGGAGACAAGCCAGGATATGGAATCTAAATCCCATTCTTGGTCTCTTCCCCTGATTCCACCATGATAACTCATTTAACCTGGCCTGGCCCAAGTGGCACTGCCTGTCCCCCCTCACGGCCAGCCCTGTCACTCTCAGACCTAAGCTGCTGAATAGACCCAGCACACTGGGGCTGCTGAACAGCTAGGCGGCATTCCTGGACGCAACCAGACACGAAGATAAAGCCCAACAGCTTACAATGGGCCTGAGTGAGCCCGAGGAACCACCCAGGCTGACCAACACCCTCCACATCTCACTTCCAAAGCATAATGGGCTGTCCTACCTTCCTAAGCAACTAGGAAACAGTAGTGACCCAAGGAGGCTTGGTCCCCTCGCAGAGGAGGGAAAGACCTCTGCTAGAGGGAGGGTGAAAATCATCTCCTCCTCCTGGAAGGAGCGCGTTAGCTCCTACTCTCTTGGTTTTACTGCTGAGCCCAGACCTTAGGGGCCTAAAAACTGCTACAGAGCTCCGGAGTGTTGCAATCGCCACCAAATCTGGAACTAGAGCTAATTCTCTTTCACTGGGGGTGTCTGTTGGGGAAGAAGGGACCCAAGCTGGTATGGGACAGCACATGCCACCCTTGGGCTTGGAGTCACAAGAGATGGCTTAGAGCAAATCTCGGTTCTGACAGTGACCTTAGATTAGCATCTGAAAGTCAATCCCTGTTCTAACATTCTATGGTCTCCGAAGTCCAACATTAGCTGTGGGACCAAGGTCAACTCACACAGCCCTGTCTGAGCCTCAGTTTCCCCACCTGTGCAAAGAAGACAATCCTCACCCTCCTCAGAGGGTTGTTATGAGAGAGTGGTCTGGTAAATTTTGGTAAGTGGAATTGCAGCTGCTACAATATTTAAGTAGGCAGCCTAGGGCAATGGAAAGAACCCCAGGGCTAGGCTCTTCTCCAGCTGTTTTTGGATTCCCTACCCCACCTCCCATCCTTCTAGACAACACCATTTTAATAACAACTCTGAGAATCTGGGCTTTATCACTTCCCACCTGTGTGACCTTAAACAAGTTGTCTCACCTTTTCAAGCCTCAGTTTCCCCATCTGCAAAGTGGAAATAAAAAGGCCTACTTCTTAGGTTTGTTGTGAGGAAAATGTTTTGTAAAGTAGAAGGTATAATAAAAATTTAAAAAAAAATTAAAGTTCCTAGGACAGATCCAGGAGCGACCTCAGAGGCCCTTGATTCCAACCCTTCTCATTTAAAAAAAAAATCTTTTCCTTTTTTTCCTACAACATATCATTTAAAAAAATAAATTTGCATTGCTATCTTTCATTTTTACATCTCAATTATTTCCTCTCCCTGCCCCCTCCAGGGAGCTAACTCTTTATAACAAAACAAAAAGAGGAAAAACACAGCTCAGTAAAACTAACCAACACACAGGAAAAAAAACAAAACTAATAGTAACAATAGCTAAGATTTATATATAGCACTTACTGTGTGCCAGGCACTGTGCTAAGGGCTTTACCATTATTATTTCATTTAATCCTTCCAGCCATCCTGGGAGGTAGGTGATATTATTACCCCCATTTTACAGATGGAGAAACTGAGACTGAGGAAGGTTAAGGGCATTTGCCCAGAGTTATACAGCTAGGAAGTGTTTGGGGAAGGACTTGAATTCAGGCCTCCCCAACTCCAAGTCCAACACTTTATTCACCAGGCCAGTTTTCCACACCCACAGTCCCTCACCTGTGCAAAGAAGGCTAGAAATTGCCTTCTCAAATCTCCTCTTTGGGGTCAAATGTGGTCATCATAATTTCACAAGACTCAGTCTCAACTATTTTCCAATGCTACCCTAACCCCTTCATTTTCCAGATGAGGAAACTGAGGCATAAAGAGGTTAGGGGACATGCCCAAAGACATACAGGTAGTAAAGAGCAGAAATAGAATTTGAACCCAGGTCCTTTGATTCTGCCCCCCACCTCTGTCAGCATTAGAAAAAGTGCTGCTCGCACCAGTCCCTCCTGCTCCAGCCTGTGGGGAAGGCCCATAACACCCATCTCGCTCACAACCTGTCTCAAACCTGCTGGGCCACCATGTCAGCAGTTTGGCTGGAGTCCTGGGAAGCGCCCCTGCTCATCAGCCATGAGCAGGACCTGACAGTGAGAACATCGGGCTCTGCGGGCTTGGGTTTGGGCCAGAATGTCTCTGAGCCCTGTCTTGGTCCCCACCTTGAGCACATGACAAGCTTCAGGGCCTCCAGGTCTGCTGGCCAGAAGAGCTTCTCTTAAACCACAGAAGGCGCCTGCATTGGAGGAGGGCCGAGGAGCAAGCCTGAGACAGGGCTACTGTGGGGTGTTGACCCTGGCAGATCTATCCAGTTTCATGGAACCCAACCACATGAAACACTTCTAGAGCATGACTTAGTCTTCCAAGACTTTGTGTAACAGCAGTAACCACTACTGAACCAAGACAGCTCTGGATCTGGCATCTAAAGACCCGGGCTGGAATCCTAGGCCCTACTGCTAACAAACGAGCTCCGTGATTTCTGGTAAATCAGTTAATCTAGCTGTCTGCACGTTGTCTCCCTCACTAGACTGTGAGCTCCCTGAGTGCAGGGCTCTTCTGGTCAGCCAGTCAACTAGCATTTATTAAGCACCTACTACACACATGCCAGGCACTGGGCTAAGCTCTGGAGAAACAAAAAAAAAAAGGCAAAACCAGTCCGTGACTTCAGCTAGATATAGACAGGATTAACTGGGAATCAGGAACACAAGGAAGGGACTCGCATGAAGAGGAATAAAGAAGTCACATGGAGAAAGTGGGATTTTAGCTGGGACGGCAAGGTCGAAATTCAATGATGGTATGACCTTGGAACAGATACTGGTGTCAGAACCCAAAAGACAAGGGATAAGAGTGGTTGTCCACAGAGGGGATCACCAAGGGCCCCTGCCAAGTGCCCCTTCACTACCTGAAGTGTAGTGAAAAGCCAGGGTATCTGGGTTCCAATCCTGCCTCTCCTGTTGATGACCTGTTTGACCTTGAGTTTACTTCTCCTTTCTGGCCCTCAGTTAAAATGAGGGGATTGGACTAGAATTACTCCATACTTGGAATTCATCGGAGTGGGAGGGCCCTCCTTCCATACGGTTGTGGCACTTAGAGCATCTCAGGATTTAGAGCTGGAAGGGACCTTAAAAACCAGATGGTTTTCTAAATCTGACCCCTGACTTTTCTAGAGAAAAGTCCAAAAGGAGGAAGGCTGAAAAGGACAGACCCTAGGTAGAATGGTAATGAGAGAAAGAAATCCAGTCAATCTTGAGAAATGCTTGGACCAGGATTTCAGTGGGCATGCTCCTCTCTCCATCCCCACCCTACCCAAACCACACACACACCTACCATGTGGTCATGCCTACACCTGGGATCTCCAAACAAGCTACCTTTGTTTTCTTCTCCTCTGTTCTCATGAGAACTGCATGCACCCATGTGGGTCGGTGGCTGCTCCCTCAGGGCGGCAATGTTTTCTCCCATGAAGTAACATGAAGAGCTGGCTGAAGGCCCCTAGAGGTACCCAGAGGTTTTGGGGAGACAGGTCTAAAACACTTGTCCCTGCCTGGGGACAATTCCTTCAACTGTAAAATGGGGATAATAATAGCACCTACCTCTCTCAGGATTGTTGGGAGAATCAAATGAAAGAATATTTGTAAAGCATTTAGCATATTGCCTAACACATAGAAGGTGCTTAATAAATGCTTCTTTCTGAGTGCTTTGGGCGAAAGGATTGGACTAGACAATAAGTCCTTTCTACTTCTGACATTCTATACTCTATAGTTCTTTGTAGTTTTAACCTTTATTCTAAGGCTCCCCCTAGCTATAACATACTTCCCCCTTGACCCCCAAGTCCCATCTGGTTCTGACATCCTGTGTTCTACGGGCCCTCCCAGCTCTGACATTACGGGTTCTAAGGGCCCTCCCAGCTCTGACATTCCGGGTTCTAAAGGCTCTTCATCTCTGACATTCTAAATTCAAGAGCCTTTGAAGACCTAACATTCTATGACCAGTCAGTCAGTTAATAAGCATTTATTTATTAAGAGACTATGTGCCAGGCGCTGTACTAAGTTCTGATGATACAAAGAAAAACAAAAAACAAGGCTCCTGTCCACAAGCAGTTCACATTGTAATGAGGGGAGGAAACAGGGAAAAAACAACGTACATACAAGACATTCAGTGTAAAGGGAGGTGATCTCAGAAGGCACAGGCATGGACTCCGAGGAAGCCAGAGGGGAGAGGTGGAGAGAGGAGAGGAGGGTGCGCATTCCAAGCTCGGGGATGGCTGGGGAAAATGCCCAGTCTGGACATGCATCGTGACGCGTGAGGAACATCACACAAGGCAGTGAGCTAGATCAGAGATTGTGTGGAGGCCAACTTGCGAAGGGCTTTAAATGCCAAGTGGAGGAGTTTATATTTGACCTTGGGACACCAACCAACATACCCGTCAGCTTAGATTTGTCCAGAGAAAATAACCCAGGCTGCCAGCGAAGGAATGAGGAGGGCGAGGCTGTCAGCCTTCTGCTTTTATGAGCCTACTTTGGGGTTCCACCTGTTTCTGAGTTCACGGGGAATTTTGACATGGCAAGGGGTCGTTCTCTGGGCAAGAAGAGTAGGAGTGAGGAAGGCAGGATTTTATCAGCTCTTGGGTCTACATTAAGCCTTCTTAGGCAGGGGAGCCCTGAAGATGGGGCCTCAATGGGTGAACAGGGAGGCATGTTTGAAAAATCTTCAGTGTCTTCTCCCCATCTTTGCTGAGCCTTTCTTTAGAATATCTGCCAAAATCATGACTTGAGCCCCCGAGCAGCAGCTCTCATATCTGAATCTGCCTTTTATTCCTCTGCAACCCTTTTTTTTTTTGAGAGGCAATGGGGGTTAAGTGACTTGCCCAAGGTCACACAGCTAGTGAGTGTTATGTGTCTGAGGCCGGATTTGAACTCAGGTCCTCCTGACTCCAAGGCCAGTGCTCCATCCACTGCGCCACCTAGCTGCACCTCCTCCCCCTTTTTTTTGCTTTTTCTTTTTTTTTGGTGAGGCAATCAGGGTTAAGTGACTTACCCAGTGTCACACAGCTAGTAAGTGTCTTACTTTAGGCTCGCTGCTGCCAACCTGGACTACTGCAATAGCTTGGGGAGGAGTGTTCTTTGCCTCTGTCCTTTGTAAAGCTGTTCCCTTATTATGCGATTTTGGTCTTGTCTGCCAATTACGATCTGTGCAACCTTGGGCAGGTTAAGTGAGCCTCCCCCCACCTCAGGCCTCGGTTTCCTTTTCTGTAAAAGGCTGGCTCCTTCCAGCTCTGGAGCTAGGATACTATGTCATACCAAAAACCTCCAGTGGCACTTTTCTCTACTCAGTCCATCTCAAAAATCTTTTCCTGACATTTAAGGTTTTGAGGTCCTGTACTATCCCTTTTTTTTTTTTTAACTTTCATCGACGCTTTTTCGTTTCCCTTGAAAACCGCTGTCAATTGCCATCAACTCCCTCATCTAACAAATAAACAGTCCAGCAAAATAAACCAACGAGGATCCACTGACCAGCTCTGAGGAGTGCTTCCTTCCGTGGCCCCGTTCACCACCTCCCCTTTGAGGCAAGCTTCACTAGACTGTGCCTGGTCACTGCACTGACCAAAGTTCTGGTCTTTCAACGCTGCTTTTCTTTGCGTCGCTGCAGCAGTCACACAAATAGTTCTCCTGGTTCCACACACCTCATTCGGTGCATCGCTTCATACATGTCTACGCTTCTCTGAATTTTTCCTATCCATTCATGGTATCATAAATATGCCATTATATTCATGTGCCACAGTGCAGAGCTATTCCTCAACAGAGGCACCTGCTTCTGTCTTGAGTTCTTAGCTACTATGAAAAGTGTTGTTCTAAAATATTTTTGTAGCTCTCAACACAACGTGCAGTATTTATTATATAGGCTTTCTTGAAATGGAAATTTATCATATATTGTGAATCCTCTCTCACTTTCTGCTGAGCACATGGCAATGCTTTTTTCTTTTCTCATTTTGTATTATTTTAGTTTTAGTATTTAAGCTTTTTTTCCTATTTTGTATTGAAGTTTAAAATAAAAAAATTAACAAAATAAAATATTTTTTGCATTCGTGAGACAGTTTTCCACCTTCAACCTCCTTGTGGTACCTGACTCGTAGTGGAATTGCTAGTTAAAAGAGTTTACTACTTTAGGACAAAGGTACAGTGACTTTTGAGATATAATTCCAAATTGTTTTCCAGAACTGTTGGACCAACTCAGTTCTACCAAGTACATGTGAGCATGCCTATCTTTTCAAAGCCTCTCCAACATTTGCTACTTTCATCTTTTGCTTATCCCTGCCAGTCTTATGCATGTGAGGGGAAACCAGTTAATTTCATTTGCATTTCTCTTATTGGTGATGTAGAAAATTGCTGATAAGATTGACTATTCATTTCCTCTGACCACTTACCTGTCAGCGAACGGCTCTTGGTTTTACACAGTTGTACTGACTGCCTATATATCTTGGATGTCAGACCCTTAAAAGAACTTGTTGCAACACTTTCTCCAAATACCATCTTCTCTTCTAACACCAGCTGCCCTCATTTTGTGCATGCAAAATTGTCCATTTCCTCTTCTATGATCACTTCTGTCCCTGAAAGAATTCTCTGCTTCACCAGAGTAAGGTACTTGCCTCCCTTTCTAACTTTCTCTTTTATTACTCCCCTCTTTTAACCTGATTTTCTATCCAAATTAACTTAGTTTCCAACATGAGTGACCCTCTCTGACCTCTGCCTTCTTTTACTGCTCCCTATGGCTAGGAGATCATTCCTCCCTCTGTTCGTCCATAGATCTATCCCCCAATGCCCAACTGAATTGCCACCTCCTCTGAGAAGTCTTCCTTATGGTCTTTCCGCTTTGGTATCAGATCTGTACCACTCTAATGTACTTATTACATAATACCATGTACTATCATGCTCTTCTGAAGATATTTTAAGATAAGAGATTTAGAAGTTAAGACCTGAGAGCTCAGTCATCTGAGGTTTCCTATTTCCTCATTAGACTGTAAGCTCTATGGGGGGGGGATAGGGAACACATCACATAAACACTGCATCTCCTCCCAAAGCAGGCACTGTGACTCCCAGCTCCTAGGTCCTCTGCCCCTCCATGTCTCCCCTACATTTAACAGTTTAGGAGAAGGGAAAAGGAGGGTATGGATGCTGCTATCAGCATTCTAAGCACCACCCTCCTGGACTTTGGACCTTCCCATGATGTCACTATTATGGGAAGGAACAGAAGGGCCTTGGGTACGTGGTTATAGATTTCCAAAAGTTGAGGAAATATGGGAAGGAGAGCTTAATGATTTCCCCAAAAGAATGTGTCAGAGAAAACACGAGTATTTACTGTTTTTCCTGTGGGGCTTCTCTCCCCTCAGGACAGGAGTAACTTTGCACTCAATAATGTAAGATTCTTTCCCTCAAAAATCAGTAGTGTTGTTTCCCTCTTTCCTCAACCTACCTTATATCCCTCCACAGGATGAAAGCTCCCTGAGGCAAGGACTAGTTCTGTCTTTATGTCTTCAGTGTGTAGCACAAAATTCTCGCACATAATGTGTGCTTAATAAATGTGTGCTGTTTGCAGAACCAAACTGAAAAAGGTGAAATTAGTCACATGTAGTCCTTCTGTTCAGCCGCTAAGTGAGAAATACTCAATGATTCCATGGTAGAAGGAGGGTCAAAGACAAACTCCCTATGAACACTCCTGCCCCTAGTTTGGGACTACAAGAAATGCTGAACTAGTCACCCTATCCAAGGAGGTATCCAGGTGAACTCACATAACTGGGCTTTTGGAAATTCAAGTTAAGAATTTTCCATGACTACTTGCAAAGGCCATCTTTTTTCCCCAGATAGATTGCCTTGGTAAAGGAAAAATCAACTATGGTAGACAAAAACAGGAGATAAATCAATAAAAGAAATTACACTGGGGGAAGAGGGAGGGAGGGAAGAAATATTAATTCAGAGAACCAAGAAGATCACTGGGCCTAGGGAGATGCCAGGGTGAGAAGGGGAGCAACACCCTGATCTCTATTCCCTCAGTGGATGCCCACGGAGGTTCTAGTTAAGTCCAGGCAGCTCGGAATGAACCACTGGCCCTCTCATTCGCAGTGACCTCTCTCTCTTTCGCAGAGCCTTGCTCCTCTAAGGGAGGGGGGATGAGGTAGCTGTACCTTGTCCCCCTCCCTTAGAGGAGCAAGGCTCTTGTTCATATTCCCAGTACCGAGCATATAGCCTCCCTTAATAAACGCTAATGAGCTGAACATCTACCATCTGAGAACGGCTACAGAAAAAATCCAGGATGCCAGTAAACCTGCGTGGTTCAGCAAACAGCAAACTGGCTAAGCAGCATTGAGGCTGTGGCCAGAGGGTTCAGATGCATGTGGTTCACTGAGTTCAGCCCAAATCGTTGGACTGTGGGATCAAACTAAAGTCCCAGACACTTCCAAATGACTGTCAGTGGCTTCTCAGCCACCACTGAGCATAGTTGTCTTCCAGATAAGAACTCAGAAGCCAGACATTCTATTTTTATAGCCCCCTTTTTTCCCCTATCAGAGAGCATTAAGCATCATGTGTTCTCGTGATCCAGACTGTAAAAGGTGAGTTACTAAGAGAAAAGGTATGGGCTTTGGCTTCAGGAGGATAGGAATGCTGCTCCAGCCAAGACACATTGACATCCTCCCATCCTGTTCCACCAAGGGGCTCCAAGACAAGAGATCCTGATTCCTCCATTGGTCTCTGCTGAACTTCTGAAACTGCTGGGTTTGCTCAAGGAAAAGAAGTTCGTCACCAGCAAAACTGAAAGGTGTAAGCACCAACCAAAATGTCCTTTTCAATGGGTATTTATTCATTCACTTATTTCTCAAGATGTGCACACTCAAGTATTGTTTGGCCAGGACAACTCATGGCCCCTTGGTATGTACAGGGTCCTCCAATTGCTTGGGGTATGTACGTATAACTTCATAGCTAATGCACCACACACAAGATAAAACAGGAAAGTCTAAACCCCCCAAGCTGCTCCCACACAAACTGAGGGGGAGGGGGGACGCTAACAGCAGCGCCCCTCGGAAAGAAACCAAAGCACGAGGAAAGAAGAAACACAGGGGAGGAAGGCAGGCTGGGGTCCATCATGGCCGGTCACTCTCTTGGGCTGGGTGGTCAGGGGATTGAGTTCAAAAGGTCCTTCAGGAAGTTGTCAGCGAAGTTGATTTCTGAGAGGAGTCCTGGAAAATAGCACAGGAGAGTTTGTCAGGATCAGAGGAGCCTGGGAGGTCCTGCTGAGTCACAATCCGGAGCAGGTGGGGGGCTGCCCCCCACCCCCACCCCAGGGCCCTGTCTGCAAGGGAAGCCCTGAGGCTTAGAGCCGAAAGCCACCTGGAAACAGGGCTCAGATGAGAGGGGGCGGAGGCAGCATCAGCCCATGCTGTGTTTGTGTTTTTGTTTTTGCTTTTTAAATGACTTGCAGGGTCACACAGCTAGTAAGTGTCATGTGTCTGAGGCCAGATTTGAACTCAGGTCCTCCTGACTCAAAGGCCAAGTGCTAACTACTACGCCAACTAGCTGCCCCCCACACTGCTTTTAAGCTCAGAGAGAGGAAGTGACTTGCCCACAGTCACACAGCTAAGAAGTCGCCAAGCCAGGATTCAAACCAAAGCTGCCTAACGCCAGCACTTTGTGACGATGCTGACAACAGAGCTGATGGTCAGCTACAACTCCCTCTCAAAGCATTTCTGTGAGGACGATCCTAAGCCTGTAGGACGCCACCCTCATCGTCTGGCTCTGGCTCTCTTGGGTTAGGGAGCCAGAGGCAAGAGGCCATGACTAACCAAACAGAGATGCTCATTCCGAGGCCTCCCCATTGCCGACCAAAGCCCTCGTGCTCTTGCCCCTTAACCTCTCCAGCTTTCTTTCACAACCTCCTCCCCTACTCTGAACAAAGGGGCCTGTTCCCCATTCCTGGAATAAGCGTGTGGGCTGCCCCCTCCTTCCCAGCTCCAATATTTGACAAAATCCTATGCATGCTTCAAAGCCCAGCTAAAGAAGCCTTCCCTAATGTCCCCTGGGAGAGGTGACGTCGCCCCTCCTTTGAGGTCCCAAAGTCATTTGAATTGTACCTCTTTTGTGACAGTGACACTTATCTGTCTTGTTTTGTAATTATCTGCCTTGCTATCATCCCAGCCTCTAGGCTGTGCCAGGCTCCGTAAGGGCAGTGCCCATGCTGTCATCATCTTTGCACACCGTCTATGTTAAGCACAGGACCCTTGCACACAGTAGATGTTCAATAAATATTTATTAGAGGACAGGTCAACATGGTCTCATTTATGCATAAGGATATCAGGGAGAAGTGGTAGAAATCATTTCTGTTTGAATTTGAAAAAAAAATTTTAAACTTACATTTGAAAATAGGTGTGTCTGTGTGTTCTGGGAGTTCATAACAGCTCAGGAAAAATAATGAAGTTATAGCATAAAGTTCTGGCTTAGGAGGAGCCTGAAAGTCAATCAGCCGCCCCAACTTGCCTGTGGATTCATTCAGCTCCTTTCTCCTCCCTGTACCATGCTGAGATAAACAACACTGCCTCTCAAACTGAGGCCAAGTGCCAGCCTGAACGGAGTCCTCTTAGCCTTTCCCCCCGTAAGCCCTAACTTGAAGCGAACTCTGCCACAGTTTCACTTTCTGTGAAGGGCAGGAAAGGAGGTTAAGGGTCTAAAAATGTAAAGGCCCTCCCTCCTCTGCTAGGAGCTCGTGCTGGCTTGCAAACTTCCTTGCCACAGACTGTGAGATGGTGACATTGTTAAGAGAAGAGAGATCATGTCCCTAGGAAGGGATGAAGAAATAAGAAGTCCAAATAGCAATGACTAGATGTCCCATGTAGATGGAGGCGGGATGACTGAGCTCAAGCAGAAACAAAAGGTGTAAAATGATACAAAGCTTCCCATCAGATCAAACCCAAAGAACAGTCAAATAGAAAGCTAAAGGATATCTTCTACAGTCCCTTTGGTGAAAGAAAGCGGGCCCATAATTAATGATGATGATAATAAAAACTTATTTTTTCAGTGACCAAGTGATCTAAGTTGTCCTACATCTATATCCTCCAGAACCAGAGGGCAAGTTTCTGGACTAAATAATTTTTAAAATTACTATTATTTCTACAGTATAAGCTTTACAATGTGTTCCTCACACTAACCCTCCCTGCACTTTGACAGTACAAGTACTGTCAAACCACCATTGTTTTTCATTTAGGTTAGGAGACTTATAGGGTAGGTCACCTTGTGCTCTATTGCTCTATGCAACACATTATTCCATTCTTGCTTGCATTTTCTGGTGGGTTAGAATAGTAATGTGTCATTAGAATTTACTTTCCCTTACATCTGAAGGTCTTTTCTCCTGGTCATTTGCAGAATTTGCTGTTTTTCAATGGAATTATTAAATTTAAGGACTATGTATCTGGGAGCTTGCAGCCTTGGGTTTTTTTTTCTTCTGGAGGTAATCTACGGATTCTTTCAATTGGTACTTCAATTTCTGTGTTCAGAAGTTCCAGGAAGTTTTCTTGTACTATTTCTCTTGTAATGGAGTGTTCAGGTTTTTTGATTTGTTGTACTCTGCTGGGAGACCTATAATCCTTAAAGCTGTCTCTATGCATCCTGTCTTACATGTAAAGCACACTTCCTTTAATGTCACTGCTTTATGCTTCTCTTCTTCCAGATTGTCCTTTACTTCCACTCCTCTGGAGAACAGAGTAAGGCTGATGACGTTGCACAGCTCTGCCTCACTTAAATCCAATTCACCTGCAAGCCAAGACATCACCCTCCTGATGTCACAGAACAAAGGACGAATAACAACAACACTTACATGTATTTGCATTCCCAATCAGTTATCTTCTCTTCTGTTTCTTTGGGGAGACTTGCCACTGAAGGATTCAAGTTTTTTAATTTTGCCAATTATTCCCGCTGTGCAGGCCCAATTCTTATTCTCTTTTAAACCATTTGCTGTGGTACCATTTCTCCTCAAAATCCACAGGGCCCTCTGCCTCATCACGTATTGAATCATTTTCCTCTGTTTTGCAGTATTCATCCACAGGTGCCTGAACTCCTGTGCTAAATATGGAGACCATTATTTCCTTGGGCTGTTAATGTCTTCCCTGTTGGTTTATCTACTTAAGCTCAAGGTCCTTGAATTTTCTTCCTCCGATATTTCCATCTTTTCTTATTTCCCCCCATTGCTCACTTTCTGACTTGGTCCTCTCTGATGACAGTTTCCCCGGGAGCTGGACCTCAAAGCTCTCAGCCTCCTCCCATGCTGGACAACTCACAGTTCACCAGCCCAGTTTCTATCCCAAGTAACTTCTGGGGGGAGGGGCAGAACTGATCCTATCTGGATACCGGACTCTATCCTTCAGGGTTAGTGGAGTGCTGCAGTTTCTCCTTCCCCCTGTTCCTCAGTTCTCTGGCCCAGCGGTCTCCATGTGCTGCCCGGCTTCTATCACATATCAGCAGATTTCTGCAGTATGGAGTCCGGATCTCTGAGCTGAGCTCTATTATCAGCCTGTGGAGTGGCTTAGGCAGTTTTGGTGCTGGAGTATGGCGAACGGTGGGAGAGCAGGTAAGGGGTGAGTACTTGTTAGGGGTTAGTTAGTTCATGGAGTTTTAACCTCGTTTGGAATCCTGGTTTCCTATACTAGAGAGACAGCTGAAACTACTTTATCTCTGGCACATAATTTCTGTTTTGAAGAGGTGTGAGAGACTGTGAAGACCAGAGAATATGTCTAGACCACCATCCTGTCAGGTGGCCTGCAAGTCTGTATGAGTATTGTCATCCATATCTTATTTTTAAGGCAACTGAGGTTCAGCAAAGTGATGGACTGGCTCTGAAGTGCTGCAGTGGGGACCTAGGACAGGCTTCTACACTCTGAGGCCAGAGTTTTTTTGGCTGCCTAGAAAACAACAGGAAGGATGTTCATGAGGCTCACCTAGCTCGAGGAAGAAATCCTGGATGGATCACTGCAGACGCTTAGTCCCAGGCTGGTCTCTAAGAAGTTGCTTTTTCCTGGTCACGTGGTATATTCCAGTGTGCTCATAATTAGGACAGCAAGTTTGCTGTGAACAATATCTGTACAGTGGGCAAAGGCAGCCAGGAGCCAGGAGGCCTGTGTTCTAGTCCAGGCTCACAGTGACGGCCTCCTGTGAAATCAACCACCCAATATTATCTTCTCTCCTCTGAAGAAATGTGCTCTGCTTTTCTTGTGCTTTGATCTTTAGAGTGTGTCTTAAAGAGCAACATCTTGCCAACAGCACTGGGGTGGGAGTCATAAGATTTGGGCTGAAGTCTTGGTTCTGTGCTAACTGGGGAAGTCCCTTAATCTCTGTGGTTCTCTTATGCTTCCTCATCTATAAAATGGGAATAATACTTAGAACACTTGACTTGCAAGACTGTAAGAATCAAATGAACTGATCTATGTGAATTGACTTTGTAAACCACAAAGTACCATAAAAACCTCCATTACAAACATGTATAACTTGTGTGATTACAACCTCTCAGGGCCTCGGTTTCCTCAACTGCACAAGGGAGTCAGACAAGGTGATCTCTATAGTTCTTTCCAGCTCCAACTTAATGGGTCATGCTGCACCGTAGCAAAACCACTGAATTTCAAGCTAGAGGCCTTGTGTTCAAATCCTGGTTCTGCTAAATACTGCCTGGGTGATTTCTGGCAAGCTGCTGAAGGTTTCGGGACCTCTGGCTCAGACTAGAAGACCTCGTTCCATTTCTTTCTGGCTCTAACTCTGTGATCCCAATTACAAGAGCAACTCACATTTCTAGAGTGCTTTAAAACTGAAAAAGTGTCTTGTTTTGTTTTTTAAATTCCATAAGGAAACCCAAGAATTATTATTCCCATTTTGTAGAGAAAGACAACGAAACCCACAGAGGGGAAATGACCTGCCCAGGGCCACACAGGCCCATGTCTTTGGACTGCAGGCCCCGGCTCTGTGCACTAGGCAACACTACTCACTTCCTTAGCATCACTTTCTCTGTGCTCTATAAATCTTACAAAAGCCATTGCACAAAAACAATGACATTTTGACCTGAATTAATAGAGTGACTTCAGGCAAGTGTCCTCTCTGGGCCTCAATTTCCCCATCCATAAAAAATGAAAGAGATTGAACCCGATGATGCCCAGGGTCTCTTTTGGCTTTACCATTCTTTCTATTTGGAATCCATCACAGACCCACGAGCCCAGACTCGGGTGATGCATTTATCAGCCACACATCACAGAGAACAGAAGCAGCAGCACCACAACTCTGACGTATGGTAACGTTCACTCTCCACTCTGCGTTCTCTTGCCGAGCAGAACGTGAAAAGCTTTCTGCCTCAGTAGCTCCTGCCCTGCCAAGTGAGAAGCCTCTGGGGCATGCGGCAGCATCTGGTTTCAGGAATGAGTCTTACCACTTGACTCTGGACAAGTTCTACATCTTTCTAAGCCCCAGTTTCCTCAGCTGTATAATGGGAATAATCCTGCTCTTTCTCTACTTGCACCAGAAGGGAGTTGTCGAGATGGAAGATCATCTGTAGGAGAGTACTTTGTGGGGCAGCTAGGTGGCACAGTGGATAGAGTACCAGACCTGAAGTCAGGAGGACCTGAGTTCAAATTTGACCTCAGACCAAACACTTGACACCTACTAGCTATGTGACCATGGACAAGTCACTTAACCCCAACTGCCTTTAAAAAAAAAGAAAGAAAGAAAAAAAAGAGAGAGTGCTTTGTAACCTTGAAAGGATTCCACAAAGAGGAGTTCTCCTAGGGCTCAGATGTTCAGCAAAGAGATCGAGTTCATCACCTGTACCTTTCCCACCAAGTGGAGCTCCTGCCACAAGACAGCAGAGACACAGGGGCTCCGAGCTCCAGGGAGAGTAAATGAAGCAGGAGAAGGGGACTGCTTAGCCCCAGAGAGCAGCTTCCATTCATATGCTAATTTTTCAAGCCCTCACAAAAGCAGGATTGGGCCCAGAAGTGGGATGGCATCTCCACAAATCTTCCAGAGTCTGCCAGGGAGAGCTGGTGACAGCAGGAACCCAGAGACTCCTTCCTATGCCTCCTTAAACAAGTGTCTTTGAATGTCTGACTCCCAGTTCTGGCCTGGTGATTTGAAGGCTTAGGTGATGACCTTTAAAGCAGAGTTTGCATTAAGCATTCTAAAACAGAGATTATAATTGTTCCCCCTGAACCTGATCTTCCTTCTAATCTCACTATTTCTGCCTGTGACACCCTGCATCTTTGACTCTTCCCTTTTCCTCACCTTTCATTCACCTGTAACGAACACACACACACACACACACACACACACACACACACACACACACACACACACACACACACAGCCCCAGTAATTCCACTGTGATAACATCACTGATGTCCATTCTATTCCCATGGTCACCACTCCAGTACAGGGTCTCATTACTACCCACCTGAATTCATGTAGTAGCTTCCTAACAGAGCTTCCCACCTCCTCCAATTCTATTCTCCACTGCCTGTCAGATTCATATTATGTAGGAAGACCGGGGTTCAAATCCCACCTCTAAAAATGACTTCCTATGTGACCCTGGGCAGGTCAATTAAGCTGTGTCCCAGGCAACTTCCGATGATACCTCTACTATGTGACTGAACAAATCATAGAGTCAAAGTATTTATAGACTCCTCAACATAGAACTGATCAGGTTACTCCTTTCTCTGCTCCAAAATATTTAATGGTCCCTTGATACCTTCTGAGTACATTTCAAACCTCTTGGCCTAACACTCAAGGACCTCTACACTCTGGGGTCCCTTTACTTCTCTAGCCTCAACACATATTAATCTTCTGCTGGAGCCTAAAAGGATTATGCTTCATCCCTTTAACATGCCTGTGCTCCTGCCCCTTTGCTCTCCACCTGGAGTACCCTCCCTTTCCCTCTCTATCTACTGAATTTCTACCCATCCTTTAAGGCCTCATGTGTATGCCACCTCCTCCAAGAAGCTTCCCCAATCTCCTGTAGGTAAGACCTTTCCCCCTGGATCTCATAAGCACTTTGTTCTAGACTTCTTGAATGTCCTTACAATATAATGCTGTGTACTCAAGTTTGTATCTTATCCAAGTTCCATGCAGGCATCCTTAACTTACCTCAACTTTACACCTGCACTGATCCTAAGTGTACAGGAGAGGCCAAAAGGAACAGCAGCACAACTAGTAGCAATACCTTAGTTTGCTATGTGATTTATAAATGAATGAATAAAAGGGAAAAGAGTGACACTGACCAGCCACATCCACAAACTCTGAAAATGTTTCCACAGGCATGAACTCTTCCTGGAACGTTTTCAGGGCCTTGTCTGCAGCTTCATAGATGGGCATGTCATTGTGGCGGATAAACTCAGCTAGAGAGCAGGACCAGCCTCCCTCTGTGTTACTGGTAGGCACCTTCTGCAAGAACCAACAAGAGACAGGGTCAGGACAAATATTACTCAAGGTCAATTTGGTTTTTCCTTAAGACAATCCAGTTATTTCAGTCTCTTGGAAAAATATACCACTTGCTATAAACATCAAAGTTATAGCTGGAGGACCTTTTATGGCTTCCAAGAACAACAAAACCCCAATTCATTCTGCTCCTAATAACCCATTATTAGACACTGCCTCACCTTAATCAGTATTCCTCAACTAGCTGAGGTGAGGGGGAGAGAAGGGAGGTGGGACCAGTAGGCAAGCCATTACAAGTGACTGAACCTCTCTGCCCTAGCATATTTCATTCCTGCACTTCCAAAAGAAGGCCCCAAATGAACTGCTTCGTTCAGCCTGGGAAAACAAAGTGCTTGAAAATTTGGCAGAGAGGTGGGCCACGGTCTTAACTGACCTGATCTTACAGATTTCACAGGTGGAAGGGCAGTAGGAGTCAAAAGATCTGGGTCCCAGTTTTACCTCTCTCTAGCTGTGTGATGTAGAAAAATCACTCAGACTCTCTGGGCCACTGTAAAGTTATGACAGCCCTGCCTACACTGACCATCTACCTCCCTGGGCTATTTATTGTGAGGAAGCACTAAGTGTGAATTATTACTCACCATATAATTTTAACACTAAAAGAGACTTCAGAAGTCATTTTGCAGATAGTAAACAGAGGAAATCAGTTGCCTAAAGTTACATAGCTATGACATGCTGTCTTCGTCCTACGTGCTTTGAGGGAGCTTATGCTCTGACTAGAAATACAAAACTTCCAAGTGTAAAAATGGCTTAAGAATCCTCATCAGCATCACAAAGTGCCAGGCTGTATCAAAACATATCATGAAAGCATGAGCAATGTTAAAGGAGTGAAGGCTTCCTCAAGAAGCTGAGTTGGGAGCAAGGAGAGGGGATATTCTTCAAAAAGAAATGAAGAGGGGGGATTCTTCCCCTGCTTAAGTCACCTTGGGTTCTTGGAAATAGCAGGTGAGGAGGAGGAAGAGGGAGGGAAGCCAGCAACGCTCAGGGAAGTCGCCTGGCTCACCAAAGGTTGCCACGTGCTTGCACCTGAGGAGAGCCGCAGGCAGCTTTCTTACCTTAAACATGTTGTAAATGAGATCGACTAGGGCCCAAAAGAGAAGTGCAGAACGATAGGCTGAGTAGTCTTTCACCGACTTATCTGTCAGTCTGGGAGGAGACAGGAAAGTGAGTTGTCAGCAACATCAGAAATGCCTGAGAACGGACTGTCCCACATGGCTCACAGACCCGATGTGGCTAACCTCAGACTTTGAGAGGGAAAATGTTTAGCTGAATTAGCTAACATTCCCAAAGTAGGGGTGAGTGGGCTGTGTGTGACCTGAACACAAGTGGCCTGCCAAATATCACTGAAAAAAGACAGTATCAGAAAAGGAGGTGAGCCAGTCTTAGCCCAGTGTTATGCTGGGACCCACAAAATAGGACAAATCCTATAACATGGTTTTGATCACAACAGGTAGACCCTTGTGGACAATCCATGGGAGATCATGGTCAAGAATCTCCCAGGAAAGGAGGCAGGGCAAGGGTTAAGACGTGCACCAATGGAAGGAACCACTATATTGATGTCATGACTGAAGTAGAACTCCAGGGCCACTATGTCTTACTTAACAAATTGAAATTTCTGATTGTGGTCAAATGCTGGGCAATACTTTGGTTTATATGTCTCTAAGAATATGTTTTCTTACATGAAACAGCTTACAATGAAAGAGGTAAACCTGGAGTTCAGCCTGTTAAATAGTAATATTCTCAGTGACTTCATGAAAAACTAGTAATTTTTTTGTTATTGTTTTTCTTTTTTCTTTTTTTGTTTAAGCAATTGGGGTTAAGTGACTTGCCCAGAGTTACAAAGCTAGTGAGTGTTATGTGTCTGAGGCCAGATTTGAACTCAGGTCCTCCTGACTTCAGGGCCGGTGCTCCACCCACTGTGCCACCTAGCTGCCCCCAAAACTAGCACTTTTACATGAAAAGAAGCAATTAAACTGGGTTTGGAAAAAGGACTGCAACTGTATTATTATTGTTAGGGGGTGACTGGTGATTTCATTAGCATCTTTGAACTCCTTTAGTGAAAACTGCCTCCACCGATGAACATTAGCATTTGGGTTTCTGTAATTTAGAGTCTAAGAGATTTGCCTGAAGGCAATGAGATGTTAAAGAATTTGCCCAAAGTCACAAAGCTAGTATGAGTAGAAACAGAGCTTCAAGTCAGGTCTTCCTTGACTCCAAGGCCAGCCCTCTCTCCAGATTATGCCCCAATGGCTCTCCTTGTATCATAATGTTGTGCTAAAAATGCGGGGTTTTTTTTCAGCTTTAAATTTTTTCTAATATATTCTAGCACACCAGTAACTTCACAACAATTTTCCTACTTAAAAAAATACTACCTGATACAGTAAAAATCTGTATTTTTGAGTGACTATGTCACTGCTGTCATCAATTAAAAATTAATGCAACCCATACACATTTGGATTTCCAATATGCACAACAACTAAACATAATAACATAAATGGAATACCTCTTCTCTAGAAGCACATAGTGGTTTTTTTGTTTGTTTTTAATGAAGAATTGCTTGGGCTTCTGAGTCCTCTTTATTTTTTTTTAATAATGAATTAATTTATTTTTAGTTTTCAACATTCACTTCCATAAGATTTTGAGTTTTAAATTTCTCCCTCTCCTCAGAAATATGTTTTGATGAATTATCACGGGGTATAATGGAAATGGCAAGAAGTACCTGCATTGCCTGACTGTAGCAGATCTGCTTGAAGCTAAAGCTCTGCTTGGCCATCATTCTCAAACAATGGAAAGAGACCTAGTTTTAGATGCCAATCTGTCCCTCACTCACCAAGGTGACACTGGGCAAGTGTGTTCCCCTCTCTAGGCCCTGACTTCCTTGTTGGCAAGATGAAGTGGGGAGCCATGGGCACCCTAGTGCAGCCATTACATTTTATAGATGCCAAGAGGCCAAGATGATTCACGTCGCTTCATCCCTTCCCAGTTTGGGCCCATTCCCCTTCCCCTACTTTTTTGGAGGGCAAAGAGAGTGGGGATGGCAGGGTTAGGGTGAAGGGAGTTTTAACAGTGAGCCAGGAGAGCCAAACAAACAGAATTCACCAAATACATATCATGTCAAAAACAGAACGGAAAAACTGCACTGACAAATGGCAAGACAGGGCGCACTGGCACCACCCTAACACCTTTTAAATCCTAGGATAATCCCAGGGCTCTTTACCACACCCCTTGGTCTCCAAGTAGCTTCATCCTCAGCTAATCCAGTGATTCAGTTCAGTCTCCTCCTTGGGAAACAAGGAGAACCCCTGTGACCTTCTCTGAAAAAATCCTAGTTCTAGGAAAGATCATAGTGGGACAGCTATGAAGAGAAATCTCACTAGGCCAGAATCCAAAGTCCCAGCTCTACAGATGCAAAAGCATCTGTGTAGGGCTCCAGTGGAACATGTCAGACTCCTAGTTTGGAGGCAATCTTAACAGCTGAAACAATACAAAGCAGTTCTCAGGGATGGCATCAAGGGCATGCCTTCATGGTGTAGGAGGGGGGACTAAATGCCATCTAATGTTCTTCCAACCTTAAGAGGCTTCTTGGATCCTTTAGGCATCATACAATTCTGAAATTCTATGATTACTAAAGATGACATTCTAGTTCCAAAGAAATCCAAGTTCATGGTTAAAATTTTTTTAAGTTTTCCTCAATGAATTTCTAAATAAGGTAGGAATGAGTCAAGAGAAAAGCTGAAGCATATTTAGCTGCAATGGGATGGTAAACTCCGTGCTTCTTCTAATGCCACCAATTACCCACTGAGCACTTATTCCCTTTCCTTTCTCACAGTGGGAAGCCTTTCCTGCTGCTTTCTAAGGCTAAACTCATTGAGAAGCAGGTGCCTTGTATGATAATGATAATCTACTTTGGCAACTCTCTGTATGTTTCACTTGCTATGACGTATGGCTAGCCACAGACATCTGCAAAGTCTTTGAAATTTTATAGATGAGGATTTATGCATTTAGACAGTAAGGGAAAGAGAAAGGAATGATAATTTCTATAGCATCTGTTATGTGCCAGGCACTGTACTAAGCGGGGAAGGGGAGAGGCAGAAAATATAAGACTGCGCCAGGTCCCATCACTAATAAGTTTTTGGGAAGGCGTTTATTTCTGTAACCCTTGCACAAATGTTAATAGTCAATAACAGACTTCTATTTCTACTTCTATGCATCCATTGCTATCTCTCTCCATTTATTGTGGAGGAACCTAGGACAACGGCACCAACCAAAAGGATGAGTCTCCCCACCCCACCTCTAGCATGGCTCTTTCCTCCCAGGGGTCTCTGTTACCCACACAGACCCAGTCTCTGCCAGTGAGAATTCTGCCCATTTCTCCCAGACCACCTACAGCCTTGTGTTGTTCCCTTTGGCTGCCTTGCTTTAGTAAGCAGAAATCTTGGGTGGCTCTACCCGACTTAATTATTTAAAGCCAATTAGTAAAGGTGACTAAACTGCTACAGAGAGATGGCAACTCAGAGTGTGGCTAATGCAGGATTTCCTAATTGGGCTGCAACCAAATCATCTTTTCTCTAACTGGTTTGGATGGTAATGGACTCCAGCTCCTTAATTGAATTCAAACAGGCCCTTGTGGGCTAAGATCACATGCCTGCTCTCCAGAGCCATAACCAAATAAACAATCACCACATTTTCCATTAATGTAAGTGGAGTTTTATCAGTAGCCCAGTATCCTTAACTTAACCTTATTCCAGGTTTAAGGAAGCAAATTAACTACTAATAATTTGGGTCTTAGCCTCTTGGGAAACACTGGGAAAGTGGGAGAGGCCCAGTGTCCTAAGATCACAGAGTGTTTGATCTGGAAGAGAGCATAGAGCATTACGGCTTCTTTACTTGGAGTTCATTCTTCTAAAAGAGTGTTTCTGGGGGAACTTTTCATTAGGTCCAAATCATGGAAAGTTGATAGCAACTGGCCTGTTTCTGCCTGAAATATTCCTTGAGGGGACAGAATGTTTACCAGAAAGAGCCCTGGAATGGGGGCTCAGAGACCCGAGTTTGAGCCCTGGCTCTGCCACTCCCTCCCTGTGTGACCTGCGCTAAGGTGCTTCAACTCTCTGGCCTCAGTTTCTTAATCTGTAAATTGAGAAGATTGGTCCAAATGGTCTCTAAGATCAAGCTATTTTGAGGGTGAGGGTGAGGAGACAGTAGAGTACATGGAGTGAACGATGGCTTTTTGACAAGGACAGGACAGAGTCAAGAGAAAAAAAGAGGGCGACAGAATTTAGGGATCTCACTAGCTCTCACTGGTTCGATTATCACCTTCACTCAGATGATTCCCAGACCTATCAATCTAGTCCAATCTCTCTCCTGAGCTACAAATTCACGTCACCAGTTCCCTTCACGTCTGGTAAGCCCCTCAAACTTAGCTTCTCCATGACAGACCTTGCTACTGTTCTGCTAAAAGCACCATTCTTCCCAGGCACCGTGGTGTGTAGCCGTGGTGTCATCCTGGACTCCTCTCTCCCAATCACCAGACAATCACCAGACAGATTCAGTTATGTTACTAAATCTTGTTTCTACTTTCACAACTCATCTCCACTCCCACAGCTGCCAAACTAGTTCAGGCCTTCATCACCTCTCATAGCCTCCCGACTGGTCTCCCTGCCTCACGTCTCTCCTTCCTGTACTCAATGCCAAAGTGATTTTCTTTAACGGTAGGTCTGACCATATCACCTCCCCTCAGTTAACTCTGGTGGTTCCCTCATATTACCTCCAAGATCACAGATAAAGTCCTCTGTTTGGCATTTAAAGCTCTTTATGACCTGGCCCCTTCCTACCTCTTCCTACCTCGGACTCTGCTCCACATACCCTAGATGCCGCCATATTGGGCTCCATCTCTTATTCCTATCTCTGTGCCTCTGTATGAATTCCTTATGCCTGAAATGCTCTCCCTCCCAACATCTGACTCTTAGGACTCCCTGGTTTCTCCTCCAGCAGGCCTTTCTGGTTCCCTCTAGCTACTAGGGCTTTTCCATCTACTCTGTATTTATATTCTAAGTTCTAATTTACACAAGTTGCCTCCTCTCCCCCATATTAGTATATAAGATCACTGAAGAACTATTTTTGCTTTTTGTAGTTTTTTTTTTAAATCTCCAGAAATGAGCACAGTGCCTAGTATGTAATAAGCACTAAACAAATGCATGCTAATTGAATGGCCAAACAGAGCAAAGTAATTCTACCCCAGGAAGCTGAACTTACTGCTCATTTTTAAATCAGAAAAGGAAGCCCTGAGTTCCTTCCATTCTGAACTCCTCCTATTCTATACATCAAGGTGAATGGGTTCTACTAGAATCCTGATCAGGGCTTCCTGCCCTTCCCCACTTGTGTCTCTCTTGTGACACCTACCTACTCGGCTGGCTTGAGTATCAGAACCTTCACATAGCAAGTGACTTTTTAGTCACTTAAAAACAACAACATGGGAAGAAATGAACTGGGACTGTCAGGGGTAAAAGCCAACTGTCAGGCATGGACATCAGCTTCAATGTGAATGAATTTGGCTGACAGGACAAGAAAGGGTTAACATCAGTTACTGAGTCAAATAAACATTCCTTCACTTAGTACATACATGTTGCTAAGCAACTCTTAAATACAGGGAGAATACACTAGTCACGACCACAGGGCAGCCACTTCATAAAGGAACAAAGAAGACAGGCAAGGTTGGGACTACTGACCTGCTGGCTCCCCCTGGCGCCACCGCTCGGGCCTGGGAGATCACCAGCAGCCTCCGCAGGATCTCCACTCGGATGGCTCGCCATCTCTCGGGGGGCAAGATGTGAAGGGCCAGAACAGTGTAATAGTGGGGCCCGTCCACCTCGAAGGCACTCTCCACCCACTTTTCCTTGGGCTGCTCTAAAAAGCTCTGCAAGTTCTTCTCTTCTCGGGAAGTTGCCCTGGTTCTGTAATACAAAGAACACCCCCCAAAATATGTGAAACCAGGGCTCGACCAAAGCTTCCTTCTTTTCACCTCTGAGCCCCTCTTTGACGTTTTCCCAGATCAGCGGCACTACGCCCCCAACCCTGCCTGCCAGTTCTCCATGTCTTTACATGACGTACACCCAAAGCTTAGGCTATGTTTGTATCTTTACAGTGAAGTGTTTTCTTTTCTCTTTATGTCAAGACAAGGTTTTCTCTGTCCTCTGCATCCAACATTGCTCCTACCTCCCTACTCTGCCCTCCTACATCAGCATCTTGGAATCCGGGGTGCAGATGGCAGGCAGCCTTAAACTGAGCCTGACAAAGTGGTCTGGGGAGAACTGGAGGAGGGAATGCAAGAAAAACATTGTTTCCTTCCCCTAGTTTCCAGACAATAGCCAAGGATATAATTATAGAATGTGCGAGTTGGAAAGGCCCTGAAAACAGTGTGTTAGAATGTCAGAGCTGAACAAAACTCTTAACACAGATGTGTCAGTGCTGAAGGAGGACTTGGAACCAAGAATTCTAGAAGTAAAAAGGGGACTTTTGAGAGATCCTTTAGTCTACACTCCTCATTTTCCACAAGGAGAAATGCCTGTGGAGCCCCACGCTGTGCCTCTGTAGGCTGGTTTAACTGTACAACTCAGGATGGAATCAAGAGCTCTGTTTCCCTGGAATGGAGGTTGCTCCCCAGCCCTCGTGCGTGAGGACCTCGCTGTTAATCCACCATCCAGGCATGGCTTTACACTGAGTTATCCAGACCCTCAGGTGTGCCTAGCTGCCATCAAGGGCACAAGTTGAAGAAATATCTGGATGGGGCTGTGATCTAGTATAATGGAAGGGTTTTCCCTCAGTGTAAATCTAACTGGCCAAAGGTAAGAAGTGTGGCAGATGAGACAGCAGGCCTCAGAGACAGGCAGAACCTCAGCAGGTTCAAAAGGGCCCCTGCTGACACATACTGACTGATCCTGTCACCCCGGACCAGAGGTGGCAAACACAAGGGCAGCAGGAGCCAGGACCAGATTAAAATGTAATTGGGAAACACTGAACAAAATAAATAAAAATACAACAGAGCACAAACAGCTGCTAATTTGTGGTTCTCTACATCAATATGCTGCCAGCAGGATCCATCTCTACTTGACTCGACCACCTGCTCCAGGTGCTACCCTCCCCTCTAAGCCTCAGGTCACAGAAGGTGCTGCTCTGCTGTGGCAGATGGAGGGTCCTCACCGGGAGTTCAGTCACACGTCTGGTCTCCGAGGGGATCAAACCCAAAGTCACCTGGACCCTGACTGAGCCCCGGACCTTACATCCACAGTGAGTGCTAGGGCTCTACCACTGAATCCTTTCACAGTCACGTCCCTTTCTGAGCCTCCGTGCTTCTCCTTAGGTAATGAATGGGCCCTGCGTGAGTCCCCAAATATAGCACAAAGAGATGGAAGTGCACTGATGCCCGTGCTGACGCTGCTTCGTAGCAGACTAAATCTTTTAGCGAGTGACGATGCATTGAAATATGGACCTGCCTGGGTGCATTCTATTTCTAAATGAAGAATGGGTGACAAGACCAGACTTTTTTCTTACAAGGAAATGGGAGGGAGAACTACAGTGTGAGGCAGAACCGAAAAAAGCAAAGGAAGACCATCCTCACACTAACTAGCCTTGGGGGCCTGGCCAAGGCTTCAGATACACTGTCACTCCTGGCAGACATGGGGCGGGACAGGCAGGGAGGTGGTCACTGTCCCTGTGAGTTGTCTTTTCTGCCCTCCTAAGCACTTCCTAAAGCACCTGGAGATGCCAACCTATTTGCTCTATAATTCAGGTCTGGATGAACAAAGCTGTCTTCTCTCCTGGCTGCCTTCCCATTCAGATGACATTTCCAGGTGATCTCTAGCCGTGTCCCCCCCCCCCCCCCCGCCAGCATCAACAGACACACATACAGCCCAAATGCATCTAGGAGGGAGATGAAGGCAACAGACTCGGGTATTTCTCTTGAACAAATAGGCCTTCAGTCTGGCCAATGGTAGCCATTTTCTACTATGCCCTGGGCTGATGACCCAGCTCAAGAGTTGCGCCTGGCAGCCCACAGACAAAGCAAGGAAAGCATTTGGAACGCCAATCCCCTCCTTTTCCTAGTAGTGGCAGTCACATCTCAGAGATGGTTGGCCTCCCTGTAGCATCAACTCCGGAAACAACATATGGAACAAAGAAAACTGAGGGAAGAGGAGGAGAGTGGCTGGGTGGACTAGAAGGGGATACTGACGTGTTCAGGACATAAAGCACGGTGTGAATGATGTACGGGATTAGGTGTATGTTGCTCTCTCTGCCGCCACCTCCTGTGTCTACGCTGAATGACTGCTCCATGGCAAAACGGAGGAAGAGTAACTTGATGTCATGAACATTAAGTTGATACGTGGGCTCTCGCTGTCCCGTGCACTCCTGGAGGTATGTGTTATGTCTGGAGAAAGCAAAAAGAAAGATCAGGAGAAGAAATGGAAACATTAACTTCTTATTTAAAATGTTACCTTCCCCCTCTTT